TGCAACGACAAGCTACTCTCGATGTTCCTCGGACGAGACCGGTGCAGAGGGGTGCGAGTGACGCGCGGTTTGTGCAGCAGAACGGAAATCCGAATGCGAATCGGGGCGCAATCAACATGAGTCGGTCAATGCCCAATATGCAGGCCACGATGCAGGCCATGCACGGCGGCGACATGGGGATGGTAATGTCCCAGGTACGGGGGGATCCGATGTATATGGATTGAATAGATGCTGGATACGGCATCTTCCCAATGTAAATGGATTGAGAACGCTCAAAAAGTTGAACCGGAGGACAAAAAGGCTGCGGCATTTCCTTTTTCTTTCTGCGCCGCAGCTTGCATTCAGGGCGACAGCCCGCTGTATAAGCTTACTTTACGGATTAGCATCTCTGAGGCATCCCGGATGGAGCCCAGGGTCACTTTTTGGCTATTAGGTGTTCTAGTACAAATCGCCTGTTGGGCAATACAGGAATCATTCTATCACCACATTGGATGCCATTAGCCACCTGCTTCTTGTGCTTGCCGACAACCAGCCACACCAGAGGCAGCCCATGGACCGATCTACTTGGGCTGGATCTCAGCGGTGCCTGCCCGACCTACCCACCGGTTTGATTGCGGGCTGATGAAGTTGATTTCCGGTATCTCATTCCGGATCCTGTCAAATTGCTTAGTGTTACCATTGTGCCGGCACGCTACGGTAAGGGTGGGGGCCTTCCTCTCCACTGTGGGATTGCCACGGCCCGGGGGTTCGTCACAAGTTGAGAGAGGCCCGAAGCATAAAGCAACTTCGTTTAACTCGTCAAGAAAGATGCGCCGAAATGGGCCAATGAAAGTGAGTTGTGCCGCAAATTTGAGTACCAGAATGTGAATCGAGTGTAAGTTGTGAAGCACACATGTTCATGGAAATGAATATGCCCCACAGATGTGTTGAATCTGGTCGCTTACACGTAGCCAGGGTTCCGGCAACCTTGGTTCCCATAGACTTCAATATCTGGCTGATGCTACTCTGCATTAATGGGTCTTGTACTTATCGTTCAAATAGCGTCATATTCACGGATAACTCATCTCAAGCCCCAATATCTCGTCTCGGTAGTCCGCCCCTCGTCCTTCTCACGATCTTCTTCGCCCCCATCGCCTCTCTCTCATCCCAACTCCTCCGCTTCTCATGTAAGCCCTGGCAAGATGTACTTTCCCTGGAAGCCAATAATACAACGTTACCGGTAATATTCCCCCGGTTCCGGGTGGAGAGGTTGTATTCTTAGCTCCTAGAAAACGGTCCCGGGTCTTCGGGAAACGGCCACGCGGGAAACGAGACTCTCATCTCGACTGCCGGTGGCGAGCTCGGGTTGGTTCTACGGACGCTCTTCATTCCCCAAAAGCCGGGACGGTGGAGCAGACCAGACGGGGACTTTCCACTGTCTCAGTCACCATGCCGAGATGGGAAACTCTCGCTTTGTGTGTCCTCCCCCCGGTTGTTGGTAATCTCACGACTACCCGCCGCGGTGGCTCTCCAAATCCGGATGTTCGACCGAAAGTAGTATGACCAGCAGAAAGAGAGAGAGCGTGTCTTTGGTGGGCGGGCCTTTCCTAATAATAGCCCCCTGATCTCTTGGAAGCTTCTTCGGTCCTTCTTCCCCCTCCCCCTCCCCCTCCCGCTCCTCCTCTCCGCGCCTTGACCTCCCGCACGATGATCTCGTGTTCTGTGATGGCGACGGAGTGGACTCGTGCCAGCCTCTCCTGGAGGGACAGGAGCTCGGGGCGGGGAGGCGTCGTGGTGGTGGACTGCCGGCGGGCGATGGCGTCCTGGAGACCGGCGACCACGTCCTGGAACTGCTGGGCTATGTCGTGGAGGCGAGATGTTGCGACGGAGAGCTGGTGAGGGGTGCAGGATGTGTAAGGGGTCGTGAGGGTATGTTCATCATCTTCGTCGTCGTCGCCGTCATGTCCAAGGGGTTGGGGGGTATGGCCGCCGCCGGTGGGAGATTGTGATGATGGTGCCGAGGTGATTGGGGACGGGGGAGGGAGATGAAGGGTGCTGATGATGTCGACGGCGGTGCTGCTTTCGCGGCGCTTGCTGAGGCGTTTCTGTTCTTCGTCTTGGATTGTGTGGAGGTGGGTGAGCATGGTTTCCGGAGTGAGGCGTTTGGGAGATGGGAGCTCGGTGAGACGGTCGGCTCGGGGAGATTGAAGATCTCGTGGGAGGTTGTGCGGGTTTCTGGATAAGGAAGACTGTCCGGTACTTGCTGAGCTTGAGTGCAGTGGAGGAGGTGTTGTGGTCAAAGCATATTGGTCATGACTTCCTTCCTTTCCAGCACCGTCGTTCTCGAGGACTGGCTCCAGCATGGTGACGAAGTTGGCGATCTGTGCTGCGATTCTCTCACGGTTGAGCCGTTTATTGTGCCTTGTAACTCATACCACAGCGTGTATGGTTCTTGCGTTGGGCCAACCGGCGTCTTTATCTTTACTCTTCGTTTGCCACGGGATGTTAGAAACTCGTAGAGAGGGCAAACCAAACGGAGAGCACGCAGGAAACCCCTTTTCGCGGTCACCCAGCCGTTTTGCCGTATGTGTGATATATCACAAGAGCCGCGGCACGCCCGCTATTTGTTTTCTCATGATACGTCGCAAACTTGTTCGGCGGGCTATGTGCTGTGCGGATAGCAGCAGCCGTTCTGTTTGCAGTTGGCCCGGTCATCCAGTGAGATCACTCGTCGCCGTTTGCTCTCTCAGCCAGGACCATGGACCTGGTAAAATAGTCTGCGACTGGCGAGTTCCATATTCTTAGTTGTTCCATTTTGTCATTCCGCTTCTTAGTCGCTGTTGTCCTCTTCGTTGTCCTTGGTTGGCACTTCACTTTGGCGCTCATGTGAGCTTATCAGAGAATGAGAAGTATCATATTGAGAAAATTACTCCCACGGGAAAAGATCATACAGCTGGGCACGGTGAAACATGGGCATCATTGTCATAATGTCTGTGGCAATTTAGGAAGAGACCGCCTTATTTTCCCGAGTCTGCGCGGCTAGATTCCCTGAGTACTTCATAGATTTGAAGTTTTACTTCGATTAAGGACGACAGTAAGCTATAGAAGCAGTAGAAGATCAAGATGACGACAAGGATAGGGGGCAATCAGTAAGAATAGCCCCTTTAGCACGACAAAAATGAGAGTTCTATGTAGGAATTCTTAAGAAGAGTGTACATCAAACTTGAGCAAACAGCCAACTACGACTCACCGAAAGAATGCGGGTATACCATGAACAGACTGCGCCAATCAACATGGTAACAATGAATCCAAGCGAAGCTCGGCTAGAATCGTCAGCTGGACAGCATGCATCCATGGACACCTTTCAAACTTGGGAGAGACGACACCGGATCTTGCGAGGCATTGTTGACGACAGGAACTATCTCGTACTCCGCACTCATCGGCACCTTCTGGCGTCCGCTACCGTTCTTCATGAGTGAAGAAACAGGTGAGAAACATGAAGCCGAGGTTGAGCTGCAGCATGCCATGTACAGACAGATGACTGTGCGTTGGTAAGTTTTGGTGACAATTTCTTTGTCAAATCATCACATATCAGGGTCCATCAGCCGTCCGATGTGTGAGGGCACAGGCCATTGGAAGACGAAGTCATGCGGCCTGACAAGACAAAAAGCGCGAACTGAAGATTTGGTCCGAGCATCGTGGTCGTCCGGCAGCGGCAGGATCCCTGTCACACGGAAGATGACGTCTCATGGTCGGAGGCAGAGGCGGCCCGACAAGCGTCAAGCCCAACGTCAGAAGTGTCCGGAGGCTCGGCAGCAGGGCGGGAGAGGGAAGCCTAGGGACAGTGGCCTTCCGGCAGTTGAAGCGACCGGAGTGTGGAGGGGGCGCCTTTTCTCATCCATGGACAGGGCAGCTTGAAACAAGGACGAGTAGGAGGCATGACGACGAGCGCCCGAGCTCTCTGACGGCAACCTTGCTCCGATGATGCGTCTGATAACGGTCCAGTGCATAGATTGCAAGAGCCAGCATAAATAAGGATGATTTGTCGCCGTCAAAGTTGCTTTTGATTCGGCTGAGACACGGTGAAGTGGGATTACCCGCGCGAGACTTGCGGCGATAAGACGACGCTTCCTCTAGGCGTATTGAAAGATGCACCAAGAACGGGACTCAAGATAGACTACAGGCGAACGAGCCATGCGATTGCGAGAGGGAACCTTAAGAAGCCAATTGGTGGCGGTACGGACGCTCTCATACGCGGAACCTAGGCACATTCCGCTGTGGCATCCCATCCTCCCCTCCTCCCACCGCGTCCTGAGCACCCGACTGGGTGGCCCAGGGGGAGCAGAGGCCGCTGCAAGTTCCCGTCAGGTAGCAGATATACAGGCATTGGGCAGGTACGCCAAAGTATCGTGGAGTTCAATGCGGAACCGACGTGTTTGGCGGTACGCGACCTAGACGATTTGCATTGTTGGTCTGCAGGAGAAGAAACACCTCGAGAATGGCAGAAATTCAATTAAAAATGTCCATAAACATGCCAAAGACTAGACCAGCCACATGTTAACGACCACCAGCCTCGAGTGATGAAGTGGCGGCGCTACGAAGGGGAACTGCTTAGTCCTGCACTACCTCGAACCCCCAGACTGCAGCAGAAAAGATACTTGCAACATTCCCCCCCAAACTCGCAGCGGGTCCCAACCTAGGCTCTACGCTACCTTAACGGGTAGGCTGGCAGCAAGCTACCCCCAAGAACACACAGCACAGCACGCAGTACGGGCACAGCACTCCCCTTCTGCCTTGCATCACCACGACCTTGAGATCCCACTTCAATTTCGACCTCGACTTCGCCTCGCCCTCCCCAACCAAACCGCCATCAGCCTCCCTTCGAAGCGCCCCATCGACCGCCACATCGCCGTCCAACGTCGAAATAAACATGCGCATGCTGCCTCCCTCTGCCCGCCGAACCCACTCATGAGTGCTCCCTCCCACTGCGACCGACCGCCCACACGGAGCAGCGAGCAGCCATGGACAACAGGGCGCAGCGATTCGAGGACGAGAAGCGTCGTATCATCGACAGCTGCTTCAACAAGAAGGACGTAGATGGATCGCGTAGGTTCTGCCCATCCCATTCCCTCTCCCTCGAATCGGATCCTTGTCCAGATGCTCACCCCGCTGCTTGCCTGCCCGACAGTGCTCGAGACATACATCACCCACATCCGAATCGTCGAGTACTCCTCCCATCCGACATCACCGCCGCCCCCCGAAGCACGAACACCCCAGTCTGAGAAGCCCCGAATCATTGTCGTCGCTGTGAGAAAGTCTGGCCGTGTGCGCCTTCACAAAACCAAAGAAAATGCCAATGGCTCCTTCTCCATTGGAAAGACATGGAACCTCGACGACCTGTCCGCCATTGAATCCTTCACCGGGCCCCCTGCCAACCCAACACTTCGTGAATATGCCGGGGACACGGGCTTTGTCGTCACCATAGGCAAACCCTATTTCTGGGATGCTCAGTCAGACAAGGAAAAGAAGTTCTTCATCGCCAGCTTGGTCAAGATCTATGGCAAGTACACAGGGGGAAAGGTCCCCGAGCTGTCGGGCTTCGACCAGGCCGAAATGGGACAGATCTTGAGAAACGAACGACGACCCCCGCCCGGCGCCCAGCCTCCTTTCAGACCCCCGGCGATGTCGCCAGATGCTGCTGCTAGTCAGAGCAGTCTCAGTGCTACAAATGTGCCTTCAAACTACGGGACTCCCTCGCCGGGACCGCCAGGCCCGCGACGGCCGCCACCTCTCAATGGTCCACCCCTCAACGGGACCAACTCACCTGTCGGCAGCATGAGCTCGTCTCTAGGCCAGCCAGAACCCCCGACACTGAGACGATTCGGCAACAAGAGTCAAGAATCGTTCGCTCAGTCGCTAGGAGGACGAAGTGACGATGCAGGAAGCGTGCCGCCGCGGTCGAGGAACGGCATGCCCATCCCCGGTGCCTTTCCCAGATTCAACGACAATACGCCCGAGCCGATTCCTATACCCCCGCCCCAGCGCCCAGAAAGTCGAGGCAACCAGAGCCGCGAGCCTCCCCCCGAACGCAAGAGACCTCCCATGGATCCGGCGCGGCCACAAGGCTTCTCCGACCGGGACCTGGTGCCTGCGCCCTTGGTGAGCCCAGGAATGCGACGAGATCAGGTGGCTCCTCCACCCAGGAGTACAGCCAGGAAAAATTCCCTGTCGCAACGCTCCGACGGCGGTTCGTACAAAGACAGGCCGGTCACTCCTCTGACCCCCGGAGACGCAGGAATGCCGGATGCGCCGCCGGCGCTCAGAACTCCCACGCGGAATGGAATGACCCCGACCAGACAGCCTCCCCCGATGGTATCGCCGCCGCCTGAAATTCCCGTTCCTCCCGCACCTGTCTCCCCGATCGCACCAACGCCGCCTCCCGCAGCCCCCGCTCCCCTACCTGAGCCGGAGCCGTTGATCGAGGAGCCCCCGGTCCCGCCAGCTGAGTTTCAGCCAACACCCCCTGTTCCGCCTGAGCCTGAGGAAGAGACGAGGCCCGGCCTTGGCCCGATGATCAAGGCAAAGAAATCAAAGGGCGATCTTGCTGGTGTACTTTGGAAAGCCGCTTCTGCCGCCGCTGCGTTCAAGCCAAGAGCCGGTGGCGCGGGCGAGAGACTACGCTTGGCAGCAAACAAGAGCGCTGAGCCAGCGGAAGGAATCACAACCGTCTTTCGGCCTCCGCCTCGACCTGTCTCTTCTGATGGACCCAAGGAGGCAACGCCGGAGGCCACCCCGGACGCCGCCCCCGCTGCTCCAGCAGAGCCCGCCAAGCGGACGTCGGGCGTGCCGGAAGTCAAGGTTACAGTACCCAATTCCAGTCGCCCGACTAGCTTGCAACCTTCAGTCAAGGAGGTCAAGAAGCCCGAGGAACCTGCATCAAAGGAAGAGGCCCGCAAGTCCTTGGTGATCGGCAATGATGCCAAATACCTGGCATCTCTTGGTGTTGATCCGTCGGTCCTCGACAATAGGAGCACCGAGTTTACAAAATGGCTCGACTACTTTGGCTGGGTGCCTGGTGAAAAGATGAGAACTCGTAATGTTGATGAAATGAAGATGGATCTAGAAAGAGAACTGAACAAGGCCCAAGCGGGCGGTTGGGTCGCACGTTTCCAGGAAGAGGACGACCGCGTTGAAGCTATCAAGCGCGGCATTGACACTGCGATTTCCGAGTGTGAGGAAATGGAGAATCTATTGACGCTTTACAGTGTCGAGCTTTCGGTAAGCGATCAATTTTCCATTGAGGCCACTTCGCAATGCTAACATCACAGACTCTTTCGGATGATATTGCGTACATCGAGGCTCAAGGGCAAGGTCTGCAAGTCCAGACTTCCAATCAGAAGCTATTGAAGAAGGAGCTCGAATCCCTCTTGGAAACGACCACCATCACATCGGCCGATCTCAATGCTTTGAGAGCCGCACCGTTGGAAGATCTGGGCGGTCTCGAAGACATTGAGATGTCGCTGGTGACTTTGTATAAGGCCATGCTCAAGATCGATCCCTCACTGCTTAGCGGTGGTGAGCCCAGAAAGAGCGAAGACACCTCTGCCGAAAGTGACCAAGCTGTTGGTCTCGACAATACCGACTACGGCAAGATGAGAATCGTGCAAGAAAAGAAGGAAATGTACCGACAAGAAAGCTCGCTCTTCCTCAGACGACTCGTCGAGTACATGGCACGACAGTTTGATGACGCCTACAACGAGACCAATAGGGCGCTCAGTGAAGCTCTGTCAAGAAAGGTGGACTCGCGCCACCACGATGCAGGCCGAGATACGCTTTGGAAGTACAGTCCTCTCATCAAATATGCCAAGGACGTCGACCCGAAGAACTGGGATCGCATGATTCAAGTCTACCAGGACAAGAGCTTCCCGGTGTACAAGAACGAATTCCGGCAAGTTCTGGAGGCATGGAAGCGCAACGCGCGCAAGATGACTGCCGATGAGACTGAGCAGCTCCTGTTTACGTACGAAGTCGAAAAGCAACAGGAAGGCAGGGCGACCACCGTCAGGAAGCTTACAGTCAAGCGCAGTCAAACTTTGGCCAAGAGTTTGCGCTCGCCCATCGACAGCAGCAGCAGATCCAACCTGAAGGAATCGGCAGAAAGCCGCAGCCTTCCTTATGAGGTGTTTGGCTCCGTTATGGACGACCTTCTTCCTCTGGTTGAGATGGAGCAGAACTTTATCGTCGACTTTTTCCACGCCACCACCATGGAGCAGTCCGATTTCCCCGACCTCGTCACCGCCACCCGGCCCGGGGATCGCAGAGGAGGCGACCTGCGGCGCCATCGCCTGATGGAACCCGACCGTGATCTTGCTCGCAGAGTCACCAAGGCGATGGAAGTAATATTCTCTTTCCTGGAGCGCGAAGTTGGAAACCTCGTCACCTGGGTTCTCCAAGCCGATCCTTTGTAAGTTGCGCAACTCCACTCAAGAAGAACGTGTGCTAACAGCGTGGCAGACAAGGTGCTGGTGTGCTGGCTGTCCTTGAACGCAGCCTCGTCGACATTCAGCAGTCCAACCAGGACTTCCTCAACGCTCTGTTGCAAAAGCTGCACGGCGCGCTCGAGGGACAGTTCAAAAAGTTCGTCGACGAACAGATCAAGGCCATCGAAGATACAAAGGTCAAAATCAACAAGCGCAAGGGCGTCATTTCCTTCATCCGGGTGTTCCCCCACTTCTCCAACGCGGTTGAGAACATTCTCTCGGGCATCGACCCGAACCTCTCAGTGCGCAAGACGGTCGACCGCGAATACGACCGCATTCTCAAGTCAATGTTCGACTCGCTCAAGATCATTGCCCGCGAGAACCCAGCAGTCAGCGTCGGAGCTGCGGGCGCCGACCCTGAAGACAAGGAGGCGCTCAACTTCCATATCCTGCTCATCGAGAACATGAACCACTTCCTCGAGGAAGTCAACACGCATGGCTTGGAGGTGCTCGAGGACTGGCGCGAGGCCGCCTCTAACGAGCTCAACGAACACATGGGCCTCTACCTGAACGCGGTTATGCGCCGTCCGCTCGGCAAGCTCCTCGAGTATATTGAGAATATTGAGGGCCAGCTGTCGTCAGGCAAGGCCGGCTCAAGCATTGCTGCGCAGCCCTCCAACTCCAAATCTACCTTTAACAAGGTGCTTTCCACATATGACGGGCGAGAGGTCCGCAAGGGCATCGAGACGCTCCGCAAGCGCGTAGACAAGCATTTTGGCGACGCGGACGACCCTGCTCTCAGCCAGAAGCTGGTGAACAAGGTGCTCCGCGAATGCGAGCGCTTCTACGGCGAGGTGGAGCTGCGCATCAGCCGCATCACTTCGGACGTCTACGGAGGAGACGTCATTTTCGAGTGGCCGCGCGTCGAGGTCAAGGCCGGCTTCCGCTAGGCAACGAAGCCGTTTTAATGTCCCTTCACACAAAAGACGTTAGCATAGCAGCAAGCCGCCGCCCAACCAGAAATGTTTGTTTAAGTGTATTTTGACGGATTACCCCTACCAATTTTGCGTGTTTTCCAAGTATGGCGGCGACAAGCTGTCTCCCACCCGCGTAGCTCGCACATCCCTGGCTTCCGGGTTGGTTACGGGATGGAGGAGAACGTAGGGAAGGGGGAGGGATGTCTTTCGTGTTGTGTGTGTGTTTCTATAGGGCGAGGAGGGCGGCGGGATTGAGGTTCCGGTAGCTGGGGCAACTTTTTCTTGCGCAAAATAGGGACAAGATCCTGTCATGAAATGAAACTTGTTTTATTGATGCATTTCATAATCCGTGTAGGCCTTTGTGATGGAACCGGTGTCACCGTGGGAGCTCGTTCACCCATGACTTTTGCACTGCATATGGCGTGTCCAACACGACACAACCTTCACAAATCTAAATGATCCTTGATGATTCCACAAAACAAACAACATTCTAACTACGGAAAAGAACCCTATTTGCAGTTTGCGTGACGCTTCATCTGGGACTGGTGGTTGACCCAAGAGACAGTGCCAAAACAATGCAGGAAAGAAATGCCTCGAGGCCAGAGCGTGGAGGCAAATTGAAATCAAGCTCTGACGCCTAAACAACCCTGTCATGCAAAGCTGGGCGGGATTTCATTCATATTCCCTCGCCCTTCAATCCGCCTTCCCCGTACCTTGCCAGGCCGTTACCATCCATAAAGTCTTTATTGTTAAAGGAATACTGTCATCAGACACAGAGGAGACGCCGTGTGTCTCTCTGATCTGTAGAAGCGCTGCCCTAGTTGGCGCATAGTGTGTGTTGGGGGCACTCTCACTGCGGTGGCCACATCGCCAACCCTTTCTCTTCATTTTTCTTCTTTCTTCATATGTTCCGCTTTTTCGTATCGAGTGGCAGAAGGATACACCGTCTACGAAAGATGGAATGCTCCTTGGCCTTCCTTGATCGCCGTAGACAGTTGCTTCCGCATGACGTTGATGCTGGTGTAGTCGGGGAGCTTGAGGTAATTCACACACGTCATAACGCTAGGGAGGTAGTCGTCAGAAGTGTAAGGAGCCTCGCTAGGCTTGCAGACGACCGTGAACATGGGCGTCAAACTCTTGAAGCCTGAGATGAAATTAGCCTTATTCGAGCCAAGTCTGCGGGGCAACGTACCTCCAATGGGGAGCTTGGGGCTGCCGGTTGTAAATTGCAAGAAGTCACGGCGCTCCGCAGGCGTCAGCTCGCTCATAGTCTGGAGCAGGTTCTTGACGCTCTTGCTGTCCATGTTGTATCCGTGGTCCGCCTTGATCGAATCCATAAGTGCTAAAGAGGATGTTAGTGCTAGTTCAAATCAGAATGAGGAGGTAATCTTACTCTCAAGGGACCAATCTTCTTCGACTCTGCCAAACAACGTGACGAGCTCGTCAGGGGTGAAGGCGCTCAACGCCGAGTAAGGGAACACCTGAGAGAAGCCGGTGCGGAAAGCATCGACTTGACGGCGAACGCCGGTGCCCAGGGTCATGTCAATGACACGCTCCAGGTACGAATCCACGTTATCGATGGTGACTCGGACTTGGGCGCCATTGTGCATGAGCTCGATCTCGGGGTATCCCGGAAGGGTGAAATCCAAGCAGAGATCATCCAGCTTGACGCCGTCGATGGTGATGTCTTCGGTGTCGGCAACCTTTTGCGCCGGAGTGCGCGAAGGGTCCTCGTCAATCTCCTTCTTGGCCAAGGCGAACTTCCTAATGGTCTTCAAAGACCTAGCCAGGCCAGGGTCGACAACCTTGACAGCACCGAGGGAAGGCTTGACTCCAGGGGCTGCAGAGCTATCCCCAATGCGGAAAAAGGTAGGATTGAAGTTCAGGTCGATGATGCGGGAGTCAATCATGGACCGAGCAACAAACTTGCCGAGCGTCTTGAACAGCTGAAGGATGCGCTCTCCGTTGGGAGAAGTCGAATCCTCATCGCTAAGCGGTCGAGGGAAGAGTCCACTGGCCCCAGAGATGTACTCTTCTGAGTCGTTCGAGTCCATCTCTCGCCAGAGCTTGAGTTTCTTCTTGGCGAACTCCTTGGAAACGGTGGAGTAGAATTCAAGGGTGGGACCCAGTCCGGTGCCAACTTCCTCAAAGTACTCGACCTCAAGGATGCTCTGTGAAGCACCATAGAGCTCCATCACCTTCAGGGCAGACTCCAGGATCTTTGACCGCGAGATTCGCACCTTCTGGCGCTGGAGGCGACCCAGGAATGGACGATCGTGATCGCGACGGTCGCGTCTGGCGTCGTCGTTGGCGGAAGCGTTCTGCCAGCGAGTCATTGACCGGGCATACCCGAACGACGTCGATTGCAAGAACAAGTGTCTCGTCTCGAAGGGAAACAGGAAGGGGTACAGTCTGGCCAGATCCTCTGCCCAACTGGGGATGCAGTTGCTTGCCACGATGAGGGGCTCTTCCAGCTGTCTGTTCAACTTCGCGGTGAGCTTGGTGTTCACAAATTGAGACAGGGGTTCGATGTTCAGTCGAACTGCATCCTTTTCGCTGTTTTCAACCATGACGTCTTCAATGTTTGCGTTCAAGTCGTGCAGGATGTTGAGCAGACGAAGGATAGAGGCAGTAGACGGGTGCTTCGCCAGGGACGCGGGCACGTTTCCATCTCCATTCTCTTCGGCGTTGGCCTCGGTGTTGGGGCTGAAAGACAAGGTCTCTGCGGGTGGCGGGCCAGGAGCCCGTCTGAATTTGATGGGATGAACGGCAGACCACACACTGCGGCTGAAGTGCTCGTCCGAGTTCAGAGCCGATGTATGAACTGCGCGGTAGATTGTGGTCTCACTCGGGATCACCTTGCCATCAAGGGTGAACTCGATGTGCCAATCTTGAGGCACAGATTGGATGGCTGCAGCATATGACAAGGCCCGAGAAGAGGCTGAAGGCGTGGGCGTGGGCGTCTCGTGAGACGCTGGGGCTGGCAGTCCGCCAGTGCGAGTCGGAAGAGAGCTTTGGGATGGCGTTGGAACTCGTGTGCCGTCATCCTTGCGTGCAGTCACCTTACCGCCAGCTGCGACCTCCATGTTGACAGCACCTGGCTCAGGGCCGGGCGACTCGCCCATATCCTCATCCAAATCTCCGACAATGGCGTCGAGGGCACTGCTGCCCCCAATCTCTTCGTCGTCAGACAATTGCTTCTCGTCTGCGCATTCAAGAGCGTTCTGCAAATCGTCATCCTCTTCCGGAGGGGGTCTGGAGGGTGCCGGGCTGTCTGATGAAGCTACGGCACTACGGCGTGTCGATCTGCGGAGTACGGCCTTTTCTCTAATGCTTGACGAGGTGTCCGGCGTGGCCGCGGTATCTGACTGCGGCGTCGACTTGGACTTGGTCTTGCGGAGGGATCGCGAGCCACCAGGGGTTGGAACGCTGGGTGGCGGCGGGACGGGGCTTGATGTGGATGCAGCCGATGCACGCTCAGCAAGTCTTGCTGCGGCGTGGCTCAACGGGAGCCCAGCCGAACCTGCGAGTGAAGCAAGGGCTCTAGAGAGATTGTCGGCTCTTCTAGAGCCTCGCGGCCTTTCCGACAAGCTGATCCTAGGTCGTAAATAGTCATCCAGGGACTTGAATGTCGCAATGGCGTGAATTGACACCATAATGTTACGGTAAGAACGGGGGATCTCTGACTCGTCGTCTGCCACAAGTCTGAGCCGGATCTGCTTTGCCAGCATCGACGCTGCACTGCTTCGGTTGCCGTCAAAGGTGTTTTGATGGACTGTGATGACTTCAAAGTGCTCAGACCTACTGAGCAGATCCTGGAGTTTGTGGACCATGACACTGAAAGGGGTCGCAGGCGAGTCGGCCGTCGCTGTCTTGGGCTTGGACTTGACCGAATATCCCATGAAAACCTGCAAGAAGGCTGACTGTGCCGCTCGGGCCAGCTCCTCGTCCGGGTTACTGAAAACATCGAGAAGAACTCGGACAAGACCAGATGCCAGCAGTTCCGCGCTCGTGACGCTTTCCAGCACATCCGCGTCGAATGACGAAGCTAGTCTCTTGAACAGCTCGGTACCCTTCTCAGGTGCAAGGTTGCTTGCTGTCCTGTGGACGTAGAATGCTTCAATCTCCTCGGCCAGATCAGAGAGGTTGGAGAGGATCTTGGCGGCCCTCTTCTTCATGGTCTTACCATGCTTCTCGGTCTCATGGTTTTCCAGGAATTTCTTAGCAACATCGCGGATTCTGGTTCGCATAGACTGTCCGTCTGATGACAAGAAGTGTTGAGGGGGTCCGTCGAGTGACATGGTAGACCCCCGAGAGCTGACCGGAGACCCAGAGATGTCGTCTGGATGAGCTTCGTTCTCATTGTCCTCTTCATTTTCACCATCGTCGGACTCCTCGTGCTCCTCTTCGTCTTCAGATTCATCATTATCTGATGAGTGGTCTCCAGATTCTGCTGATGCTTGTCCGTCCGTGTTGTTGGTCTCCTGCGACGCGCTTGCCTCTGCAGGAGGGGGCGTTTGCTCCTCTGCAGCGAGCTTGGTGATTTCAGAAATAACGCCTTCGCGGTAAAGCTGGTATCGGTAAACATCGTCCAGGCGGCTGAGGAGAAGCTCTGTAGCTTGCAACGCCAGCATGACCAGGGTTGGATGATCCTGCTGAGATAGAATCGACGCAAGGAAGGAGGCGTAGGGAACAGTTTTCAGAGATTCTCCCAGAATGCCCTCGTCGAGGTTGGAAAGCATCTTCAGCTGTGCAGTGAGAACCTTTTGACGGACGTTCAAGTTCACCGTGCTCGAGAAGGCGTCTGTCAGCGTCGGGAACAAGATGAGTGCGAAGCGGCGGACCTCCGCTTTGCAGCCATCCAGCAACTCAATGCGCTTGTCGTTGGGCGACTTGCGTGCTTTGCCAGTAGCGGTCGAGGATGGCGTAATGGGCTCCGTGGCATTCATTTCAACAAAGTCACCGTAAGCGGG